TTTATCTGCGTAACCACTATTGGCATTGAAAGTTTATCGTAATCTGTATATTCTTTGAAAGTTAAGAAAACATCACGGGAGAGAATCCACATGTACGTACTAGAGAAGAAACAAAATAAACTAAATCAACATATGTTGGCCGTATGCCATATGAAAGCAAATTGCTTTAATGTGGGCTAAGAGACCTACCGTTATTACATTTTCTCAACGAAACATTGTATCCTTAGATTACGAAAACCTAAAATGAGGAAAGAAGCATATTCTAGATGAAACAAAATATTCTAAGCGACAATTATATTAAACATACATGTGGAGGTAATTTCTTGTGCATTTTTCTCATGTATTTTATTTTATTTTGGTAAATATAGCATTCACATACTTCTTATTAGTAGAACCTCAACCACCTTATTAGTTGAATTCAACCCCCTGCCCTATGTCTAACTGCAAAGAACAGTTTTGACAAACCACATAATTTTAGAATATCATGTGAACATTTTACATGTGATAGATTCCAAATACAAACAAACTGCATCTATGGGAATATATAATCATCACTCACACATGGAAAGCTACCTAATGTTGTGTGCAGTTAAGCTCACGGTCACGGGTCGCCCCTTACATGGGCAAAGGGCATCTATCCAACCTACAATATATTGTGTATAAATTTGTTTGAGTAAATCTTTCATTAAGCTCAGGGGTCGCCCTTTACATGGGCAAAGGGCATCTTATCCAACCATATATAAATGTGTTTGAGTAAATCTTTATACCAACCAGCCAATCACAGGCTACCACATCAACGTGCATGAGATGCACTCGTCCCATGGTTGGCCGGTTGTACATACCACAATGGTAGAGAGAGTTACTCTTGCTTTTAATATATGAAAGTAACATTTCTTAGGGCTGAGGTGGAATTCATATGATCTGATGTGGCAAAACATTGGATTATTCATAGATAGATCAAACCCAGGAGAAAAATTTTATGGGACAATCTCACTATCTCACTTTAATAACATGGTGAGACCGTAATGACGTAATCATGTGTTATTACATATTTTCAAATTCTCTTTCATCCATTCATCAACATGATTAAAAAATAACTATCCATTATCATTAATTCAGGTAACCATCACTATTAGAAGTGGTTTTGAAAATTAACAATATGTGTCTTTGTTTAATTGGACAGTCTCACCACATCAATAAAGGAGATGGTGAGACTGTCTAATGTAAGTATTTCTCCAAATGTATCAATGATTTTAATCTCATAATCTCTTCTAAGCTATGATAATCAAGCCTGTGATTAAAGACGTTTTGTTAAGAGGAAATTCAATGACAACGTATTGTCTAACTTATGAATCAGAAATTATTTTTTTTTAAAAAAAAAAAAAAACTTGTAAAGTTGAAGAGCACAAAGTGGGAGCCTAAACTAAGATAATAAGCAGCAGGGGAGGTTTTATAAAACAAGAAATGAGTTGCTATAAGATAATAGTGGATTATCCTTGATATTGAACATGTCCAGTTTGGATGATCATCTCAGTTATTTTTAAAAATAATGTTATATATATATAGGAAGGAAGACTCTGAAGCCGATTATCCCATTGTAGCAGGAAAACAATAAGGTAATCACGAAAGGCAATATGTTAGAAAGGCTAACAGACGACAGAGCAAAGAGTGCTTCCAACAGCCTATGATTGCAAAGGCAAAGCCCTTATTAAAGGCATCAATGCACTAAGTGACAATCCCAGAGTGGTTTAGTAATCAGATGCTCTTTCCATGCTTCTTTTTATGCATAACAGTCATATGCCGCAAATCCTATGTTTAAAGCTAGGATGGATGGGCACCTTCAAGCTTGAAAGATTCCTTATAAGGGTAAGTATAAATTCTAGGTTATTAGAGGAGCACTGAGAATAAGTTTATGTCATAAAGTAAATAACAAAGGGTTACTTGAAGTATATTTTTTAGTTATGAGGAGTGATTTAAACATTGGGGTGAATAAAGGTTGTTTCTAACTAGGCTCCCATACTTGATTTTGTTACATTATTAATAGTTTTAAATAATAGGGTTAACATTATTATTTGAGGATTAATTTGTATTAACAATATTAGTGGACTCATGTATATTCATTGTCAAATTGCTTCGCATATAGTTCCTCTAACCACATTTTCTAACCGAACCAGTGCCAATCTGAATTGATCTTGTAAGAGATCCACTAAAGACTGAATCCATTTATTTTTCAAATGGTTCATATCATCAAGTGTATCCATTCAAAATTTCAGTCCAATCAAATGATCTGCAATTGCTAATACATCTTGTTTAACATTAATTACCACTACAAGAAAAATGTCTTTCAGTGTCTAGCAAAATTAGACGCAGAAAGTAAAATTTAGACGCTAAATCATATTTTGCGTCTAAATTCCGTAGTCGCCACATAGTTGCAGAATCGCTGTCGTAGAAAGTATGCGTAGCTAAATTTTTTATTAGACGCGGAAATTTTTTTTTAGCGACTAGCAAATTAGTCACTAATTGCTTGTTAAAATAGTCCTCCCGCTTAGACGCTAATTGTTCAAGGGTAATTTCATAAAATGGTATCGCGACTAATCAATTAGTTGCAAAATGTACCTTTTAGTGTCTAATAATTTGTTGCGAATGCCACAAAAATTAGACACTAAAGGTATAAGGGTAATTTCGTAAAAGGTTTTCGTAACTATTTTATTAGTGGACGAATGTATCTTTTAGTGACCAAAATTTAGTGATTAATTCTAATCATTTTAGATGTTGAATGTGGAATCCAAAAGGTTTTCGCGACTATTTTATTAGTGGACGAATGTATCTTTTGATGACCAAAATTTAATGGTTAATTGTAGTCATTTTAGACGCTAAATATGAAATCTAAAAGGTTTTCACGACTATTTTATTAGTGGACGAATGTATCTTTTGGTGACCAAAATTTAGTAATTAATTCTAATCATTTTAAACGCTGAATGTGAAATACAAAAGGTTTTCGCGACTATTTTATTAGTGGATGAATATATCTTTTGGTGACCAAAATTTGGTGGTTAATTTTAATCATTTTAGACACTGAATGTGAAATATAATTAGAGGTGGAAAAGTAACCCGCCCGGCCTGACCCGACCCGGCTCGCGGCGGGTTACTTAATTAGGCGGGTTGGTCCTAACCCGCCCGCCAACAAAGGTAGGCCGAGTTAGGCCCGTCATTTTTGGGAAAATGGCTGGCCCAACCAGGCCCGCCAACCCTAACCCGCCGGGTTAGGCTACGGGCCGAGTTAGTCCTATTTTTTTATTTTTTTATTTTTTATTTTATTTTGTTTTATTTATTTAACTTTTTAAATAAATAATTAACAATTTATAAATGAATAAATGTAATTGTTTTTAGTTAACTTTTCAAATATCAATAATTCAATTAAATTAATTTTTTTTTTTTTTTGTTAACATTTCAAATATTAATTCAATTTTAATACAATAAAATTGTAGTATAAGAAAAATTAGATTTATTCATTCAATTGATGAAATTTTAGCAGAAGAATGAATTATATTTTATACAAGACATGGAAATTTGAGAATAAGACTTTAGTATTTATTTATTTATTTTTTTTTACGTACCATAAAAAATAATAATAACAATATGTCAAATATTACAAAGTTTTATACATTTTAATATTTATGATTTAGAAGTATAGTTTAATACTATTGTGTAAAATTATTTGTAAGAGTTCAATCATAATAGTTTAATTAAAAGAATTAAAAAAATTGGGGAAACTTGAAAAAAATAATTAATTTTTTATTTTTTTTATTTTTTTGGGCCAAGCTAACCCACCGGGTTGGCTAATGCAAACAAAATAGCAACCCATCGGATTGGCGAGTTACTATATAGCAACCCGGCCCGCCTGGGGGTTGCAGGCGGGTTAGGTTCAACCCGACCCGCTTTATGAACCCTCTCTAATGCGAGCCAGGTTAGGGTTAACCCGCCTAACCCAACCCATTTGTTCCACCTTTAAATACAATTATGCTAAATTACTTTTTGCTACTAAAAAATTAGTTGCAGAATGTGTTTTTTTTTTTTTTTTTTTTAAGAAAATAATTAGTAACAAAAGCATTTCGTATTGACATAGTTTATACATTCAACATCAACAAAATAATTGACACAATATAAAAATCTAATCACTAACATCAAATATCATATTTTCATACATATATATATTTATATATTTAGTCCATAAATGGATTTTTATGTATGATGAGCAATAAAAATCCAAAATGCATTATCATATGTGCATAACCAAAAAAAAAAAAAGCATGCACCCACATTTTCCCCACTAGTTATCTATCTGTGCATAACTAACAAAAAAATGCCCAGCCCATGTACACCATCTAACAGATATATGCAAACAATCCTAAAAAGATGGTTTTATCCCCATGTCAAAATATCTACTACCCATACAACAAAAAACTAGCCATCAATATTGTTAGCATGTCAAGTGTCAACACTTGCGGTTTTTGAAATATCTTTAGCTGATGAGGACGAGTCTTCATCAGTTGGAGATGGCAATGGCTGTCGAGTTGGAGCTTTATCAGATTGTTGTAGTTCAAGGACTATAGTTAGCTGCTTCATCATCTCCAACAAGACAAATTATTATTGTTCAAGACTTTTTATTTTCTCTTTTTGTTGATCAAATAAGATGAGCTACTCGTCCAACTGTTTAATCTTATTTTTTTGTTGTTGCACTATGCACCTTAACTTTGCTTTTGCTGCAATATCATGATGTTGAGTCTGTGAAAATGTAAAATTTTCGTTATATCTAGAAGCTTTACCTGGAACTTCCTCACATATTTCTACTCCTGTTTTTTCACTTTCCCCTGCTTGTGTTTCATGTTGCAGCTGTATCATTTTTTCCTACCATCAATTCAATGCATAATCAATAAGTCAAGCAAGAAACTAAATAATTACATATAAATTATAATTAATAAGTCAACGCACAATCAATAAGTCAGATAACCATGAATAAATTGCCCGAAACCAATCTTGTTGGAGCCATCACGTTAATAATATTAAGAAGATAACTCAAGAAATTACCTATTGTAATGCATAAGAAAACGACTAAAAATTATGTCAGAACGTTTACATTGAGAAATAGTTGACAAATGGCTTAATATTGACATGGAAAAAGCTTTGATACTATTTACTGTGGAAGAAACACCCTGACTTTCAGAGGTTAAATCTCATAATTACTTTTCCACATTTTGTACAACTGGATGATTATTAGCATTTAAAGAACTAAGCAGAGAAGAAAGAACATTTTACCAGCTTTGTCAGCTACATGGAAGAGCAGCTCCTCTATTAGGTGTTGTGTAGGATCACCATCTGGAAACTTCTCCATGAAACTCTCAACATTTGAAACCACTTCCTGATTGGTCAGATACTGATATAAGCCATCGGATGAGAGGATCAAAAATTGATCTCTCGGGCAGAGTTTATTGTGATGAAGAGAAGGCGTGCAGGATATGTATGGAGCAGTTCCAATATACTCATTTCGAAACATTTCCAATAATGAATCGTTCAACTTGGGCTGCACCAAGATGCCATGATACCATTGAGCAAGTTTTTAAAACACACCATTGGATAAAACAATACACTGGGAACTTCATCAATTGAAAAAATGAAACATAAGTGTAATGCTCAAGTGTGGTTTTGTAAGAGCAAGAATGCATAAATAGTGAAGCATTAGCAAAATCAGTAATGATATTCTTGTGGTTTGTTAGAGCAAGGACACATATATTGAAACATTAAAAAAATAAGTACAGTAATGATATTCGATTGGCTCACAAGACACAACATACAACAAAAATGATATTTTTATGCACTGATAAAGGTGACTTGCAACTTGAATCATTTCCAATGCTATATACAGCATTTCCTCTATCACAACACTTTTAAAAGATATCCAAAAATAACAACATTTTAATTTATACACTGCATTATCTGTAAAAGCCAATGTGTCTTATCCATATACCGTAGTGATGAATATTATTCATGAGGATATAATTTACTAGAACATAGCAAGCAATGAGCACCTATAATGAAGATATATGCTACCATGATGTACAAATCACCAAACAGTAATAATCATCAACCAGAATTACTTTTTATCAGAAATCCTTGCAGCAAAATAGTTATTACAAAGGATATACGACAAACCTTTTTCAGAAATCTAGCTCCAAATGCTCTGGTGACCTTAAGACGACCTCTATCTCTATCATTGACAATACATTGGCTATCATCTGGGTGTTCATTCTTTATTCTTATGATTTCCTGCAATATTAGTGCAAACCAAAGTTCTTAGCAAATCGACATTACTTCCCATCATTAACAAGACCATACCATTAGTTTAAGGGTAAAGATAACCATACTTGGCGGTGAAGGGCCAGGGGGACGGCCAAGGAAAAGAAGAAAGGCAAGTAGATTGAGTATTTTATCATTAAACTCTCAAATTAATAAACTTATTAAACATAAATTATATATAACTTACAACTGTATCAAGGAAAATAGTTTACCCTAGTTGCATTGATTTTGATAGCGTCTCATTTTTTTTAGGCTGAGGCTGGCTTAATTGGAGATAGAGAGGTGGGTGTGATTCGTACCCATTGCTGATAATGTATGGAGGTTGGAAAATCCTGTTTGCTGCATTTACTAACCAATAATTCATCATTGGTAATTAGTTTCAGAGTTATAAGATAAAACCAATATAGCAGTCATCTATCATTCTAAATATATGAACATTTTAGCAATCTAAATTGAAAATAAGGATTAAAACCTATGTGGTCATAGATATGATCAAAAAGAAAATAGTTTACTAGCATGCTATCAAGGAGACAGCCAAAAGATCAGATTTCCCTGGCAGATCCAAACACTTCTAGCAATAGGTTTTAAAAAGTGGTGCATTACTGAAATTGTCGTTTAATGACTTAATATAAAATAAGTCACTTAAGGCACAAGCGCAGAAAAGAAGTCTACTATACCTTCATCTTATACCCATTCTCAAGAACTTTCAACCGTAAAAACAGCACCACGCATGTTCATGTGACTGCAACGAACACAATACTTCAAAGCACTAGAAACAATATATGATTGATAAGAAAAACAGATAACATCTGGATTTGTCTTAAACATCAGCAATCCTCACTCATTGACATGACGAAGCAATTTACAAATATTCAATATACTCCTTAAAAATTGACATGCAAACATTACCAATAAAACAAGATGCAAGAAATAGACAGGTCACAAACTCACTATATGACACCTGAAGTGTTTAATAAGAATTTTACCAATTATGCAAATTGAAACCTAGTCCAAACGCAGGAGGCCTCACTAAAGAGCACATTAAAAGTCCTAAAACAACAATCATTTCAGCTACTTTTCTGACAAATACCACAACTTTACTCGCCTTCTTTTTCTTTAAGAACATAAATGCTGGCCAAGTTGCCACTGGAACACTATCCCTCACTTGTATGCAATTACCAACCTCTTATTAGCAATTACCAACAAACCCATCATATGTAGAGCCAAAATAAAATTAAAAAAAATCAGTCAAAGAACCTTCCATTTCCAGTTGAATTGACAAGAGTAACAATGGTTATTTCAGACTAAAAAAGAAGACGAATTAATATGTTGAACATGTCTATGAATACCTTTTAGTCTTGTTTTTTAATCTTTACACAAATGACTAAACATACCATAGATCAAGAAAACAAAGAAAAGCACCTGCGAATACTGTGAAATAAGTCTCGCCCAAGAAATTTTGAAACTCACTTTTGCTAATTTTGCTGGTCGCTTCTTCATGCGCCCATTATTAAAGACTACGCCGATAGCCTTGGATTTCTCTTCATCCAACACAGGTTTCACCTAAAACCCCCACAGAGATAAATTAAAAAAAAAAAAAAGTCAAATTACCGAATTAATAGCCAAGAAAAAAGCCCTCGAAAAACCCAGTATTTGAGAAAATATTCAAGATTTAAATAAGCGTTAATACGTGTAAACAACTATATATTTATACCTTTTTCTGAAGCGGCTCTAATTGCATTGATGCTTGCATTCCCATGAATAAGGTGAAAGAAGGTTTCCTAGAATTCCTCTCTATTGAAGGGTTAATACGAAATTGAACAATAGCAGTCACCCCATTCAAAGCTTCATTCCACGAATCAAGTGAATGAAGGTTTCCTAGAATTGCAAGACAAATTACAGTTATTATTTATCAAGTATAAGGTCCTCATGATAATCACTAGCCAAGAAAAACCCACCACAATACAATTCCAGTTTTCACCCAATTCAGTTTTCACAATCAATTCAAGAAAAACCCAGAAACCCTAGACAAATGCAAGCAAAAAAAGGATTAAAAAATTATGAATAATAAATTTATCATGGTCTTTAGGTTTCACAACAATGTTAACAAGGAAATTGAAAGAAAGTGATCGTGAATGTTTACCAATTAAGTGCTTTTCTTCAAAGCTCTCATGACTTCACTGTGAAAGCAAGTAGTTATACTATGGAAAAGAGAGGGGAACGGAGTTGTGAAGTCCAGATTTCAGGCGTACAATGGAGAAGAGGAGCGAACGGAGTGGAGAAGTTAGATTTCAGGTGTCATATGGAGAAAAAGAGGCGAACGGAGTGGAGAAGTGGAGAGTGTTTTGCGTTTTAGGGTAAAATTGGTTTGGGGATTTTGTATAAGTGGGTTTACTATCTTTTTAATTTTTTTAATTTTAAGTTTCAAAAATTTATGTGCAAAATTGCATACTTTTTTTTTTTTTTTTTTTTTTTTATTACCCTAAAATAGGGTTTTTTAATGGTAAGGATTTAGGGACTTTTCAATTTGTTTACTTTTTAAATTTTAAGGAAAAATTGTTTACTTTTTAATTTTTTTTTTAAATTGGAAATTCAGTTTTTTTTATTTTTGTGAACCACAATTGAACGGTTTCCCAGGTAAACCAAAAATTGGTTCAGTTTCCAGTTAGGTTCGGTTTCTACATTTTTCTAAACACCGCTACATTTGGGTGTTCGGGATACGCCTCGCCAAAACTCACCGAAGTTAACAATCTTCGTCGAAATAGGAACAGAATAAGTGCCAGAGTCAATGAGCGAGTTGTTGTCTACTGAACGAGAGTGGTAGAAACTAAAACTGTTGTTCCAATGCTGAAAGGAGGTCAACTATGAGGGTTTGTACAAATGAGTGAAATAGCGGTTAAGCAAAAGTTTTAGGGAAAAATGGTAATGTTAGACGAAAGAGAAGACAAAAATAAAATCAAACACCATTCGTTTATTAGTAACAATAAACGAATTTAAAGCACTCATCACAATTATAATAGCCATTGTAATGTCAGATGAAAGAGAAGACAAAAATAAAATCACCCATTACGAAGTTAAAGCCACCCATTTAGGAATGTCACTAACAACAGATGCTTAAACAAATTAAAACAAATGTTGTGAAGAAACAGATTGAAAATCAAATAATAAAATTGCAATACCATCTGTAAAAGAATGAGCTTTGACATAAAAATAAAAAAAAGTAACCTTCAATGGGGTAATGTAGGCGGCAAAAGTAGAATCAAAGAGATGGTAATGTAGGCAGCAAAAGTAGAATCAAACAATAAAATTGATTTTGGTTACTAGTAGTATATATTATTTTTAATAAACAATATTTAGTAGCTAACATTTTGGTTGCAAAAAAATCCTATTAACAACTATAACTTTAGTTGCCAAAATAACATACCCAAAATTTCAATTTATTTCAAGCAGGAACATAGGGTGCTCAAAATTTATTACACATTTGGCAACTAAAATTTTAGTTGCCAAAAGAAGATAATTTGAAACTAACTAATTAGTTACGCAACAGTAATTTTAGTCACAAATTAAAATAATATTTTTTTCATTTTACTGGGAAAGTTGGGTTAAAAAAAATTCATCAACTTTTAGCGACTAAATACATTTTAGTTGCTATACATAAGTTTTTGCAACTAGTTGTAATACGCACAAAATAATTAGTTGCCAAATGTACCCTCGGCCCTTTGCAATTATTGTCAAAAACTTGGATATTTCGGTAATTGTATTATTTTGTAACTAATAAAAATAGTTACAAATTAATTAATAAATATTTGCATATAATTTAGCAACTATTCAGTAATTACAAATAATTGTTTTCTGTAACCATAATTTTAGTTGCAGAATACCTTGTTGTAGTTGTCAATTGTGTTCGCGCAAGAATTGGCAGCCAAATAAATTAGTTGCTGATGTGATATTTTGGGCAACCAATCAAATTTGTCACAAAATATTAATTTCAGACGCTAAAGGCGGGAATAAATGGGCCCTAGAATTTTATTCCCTTTGGCCGAATAATTGGAATTTAGTTACTAAATGTAGGGTATCTGCAACTATTTTTGCATAGTTGCAAAAAAATTGGTTGCAAAACGTACTTTTTCTTGTAGTGTACTAATAAATTTATCCGTATTAAAGTGAATATAAATGGATTATATCAAACTAATATGTGATTTATTTTTATATTATTAGTCAGGCTTTTTATTATTATACATATGTATGTTGAGATTGTGAAGCCAAATTCAATCCAAATTAGAATTAGATTAGGACATGAGTTTTCCTAATTTGTGTTTAAGTTGAATTGTTTTCTTTTAGGAATACAATTGGAAATATGATTATAATTGTATTAGGAATTAAAATATAATTCCTATTAGGATATGGGATTTGAATCCTATTAGGAATAGTGTCTCATGTATTACCTATAAAAATGGGTTAAGTTCTAGAGTTAGACATCACAAATTAAATAAAAGGTAAAGCCACAATTAAAGAGTGAGAGCCACCAAATAGGGTTTAGTGAATGAGCCAATTTGTGAGGCTTGTGGGAGATTCTTGTAATTTCTTTTCTTCTTCTTCATAGAGAAATTTCGTAGTGGCAAAGTGGACTTAGCTCTCATACAGAGAGTGAACCACTATAAATCTTGTGTTTGTGTATGTGGTTATTTTGTGTCCTTTGTTCGCACTATTTTTCGCTTTCAGAGTTTTAGGATTTGCTAGTATTCAATTAAATCCCCGAACAACTGGTATCAGAGCAAGGTTCAAGGAAGAAAGCAATGGTTGGAGAAGGAGGATCTAGACCTGGGATCAACAAGTTTGATGGAACATATTACGCGTTTTGGAAGATACAGATTGAAGATCATCTATATGGTAGAAAATTACATCTACCTCTCCTAGGAGTAAAACTTGAAAAGATGTCAAATAAAGATTAGGCACTCCTTGATAGACAAGTATTAGGAATCATTTGGTTGACATTGACCAAGAACGTGGCAAGTAACGTGGTGAAGGAGACAACCACAACAGGGTTGATGAAGATCTTGTTCGATATGTATGACAAGCCTTCTGCGAATAATAAGGTACATTTTATGAAAAAATTATTTAATCTTAAGATGAGAGAAGTTGCTTCCGTGACAGAGCATATGAATTATTTTTGATACAATTATTAATCAACTGTCATCTCTAAAAATTGATTTTGATGAAGAAGTTTGTGCCCTAATTCTTATGGCCTCCCTACCAAATAGTTAGGAGCCTATGAGAGCAGCAATTATACGAAATTAAAGCTCACAGATGTTAGAGACAAAATTCTTACTGAGGAGGTTTGCAAGAATGATTCGGGTGACATAACATCGAATGCTTTGAATGTTGAAACAAGAGGCAGGGGCTATGATAGAAATTCAAACCGAGGTAGAGGCAGATGAAAATCAAGGAACGAAAGAAGCAAGTCCAGGTAGAACTGTGGCAACAAAGGCCACATACAGAGGAATTGCAAAGCACCAAAGAAAGGGGAGAACAACGATAATGACGCCGCCAATGCTGTAACTGAAGACATACAAGATGATTTACTTTTATATGGTGTTAAGTTTATCAATGATTTTCTATGGCTTGGTGTTAAAAATGCAAGTATTTTGACTTTACGGTCCTTAGTTCGAGTTGCATTAATATCATATTTATATTTTTTTCATTTTTTCATTTTTATATTATGTTTGGTTTAGTTTGGATTATTTTTTTTAATAGTAATCAATAATAAAATATTATGATGTTTTTGTTCTTATATATATATTTAATATGTTTGGATGATTTTTTTTTTTCAAATGTCATCAATAATTAAATATATAAGTATGTAGAATTTCAATTAATAAATAATAAATTATTATGGTATATAGCATGACAAATTTAATAACATGATAGATTGTATAATCAAGTGATATATAACATAACAAATCTAATAATATAATAACTTCATATTTTTCCAAATATAATCAATAATTAAATATTATAATATAACATTTCAAGTAATAAATAATAAATATAGTATGATAAATTGATGAATATAACATATTGTATAATCAAATGATATATAGCTCGAAAAATTTAATAACATAATAGCTTAATTAAATATAATATGACAAATTTATGAATATAACATATTATATAATCAAGTGATATATAGCACGACAAATTTAACAACATAATAGCTTAGTTAACCTAAGTTATATATATATATATATAACAAATTAATTACACGTATGTATTGATCATATATTACAATAGACTCTCATTCTACAATAAATTTATGGGTGCTGATATATATATATATATATAATAGATATTATATATATATATATATATATATATATATATATATAATATTATATATATCTATATCTATATATATGTAGACATTTAAAATATTTATGATAATATATTATTTTAATAATTTAATAACATATTAAACACATTTAATCTATGATTAATATATATATATATAATAAAAACCCAATAACTAACCAACTAACCCAGCCCAACCCAAATTTTAAAACAAAAATCCAAAACATAAGTTATTTGAATGATTTCAAACATATTTCGAACAACTCGTTTTGTTAATCGAACAATTTTGGATGGTGATTCTAGTGTTTGTTCGAGTTTGAACATGATTTCGAATAACCCATTATGCTTATCGAATGATTTTATAACGGGGGTGTTCATTTGTATTCAGTTGGTTTGCAACCCTAATGGGAACTCTCCTGCATGGTTTTACCTTGGACAAGTCCAAGGAGAAGCTAATCAAAAAAGGCCAAAGACCAAAAGGATGTACAATCCTCCGCATAAAGGCCCAATAAAAAACATGCCTTAGCAAAAAAACAAAAACAAAATATCTATACAAGGCCACATAGCCCAAAAAAGGAACTCTGTATAGCCCAAAGGAGGGCCCATGCATCTGCACATCTTGCCCATACAACCAACCCACCTCCCATTCTACATACCTCAACAAACACAAACTTGCTCACCTAAAATTATGAAAATCATCCAGCTCCCCACACAACATTTTCAAAAACATCATCAACATAAACAAGAATTATGATCATTCCATCCACCTAAGGGTGGCTAGAGAAAGAGGGTATTAGGGAATACTTAAAACTATGTATCGCGATATGGGTGTTACAGTGGCCTAAAGTGACCCTTAGAATTTTAACATTTAACATTACTGCCTAATGTCGAGGTCATGACAATTTCCTCCTCAAGGTTTGAGGAAAGTAACAAACACATCGACAACCTTTAGATAGTAACAAATGCACCCAAAATATTAATTATTTACCATAGCATCTTTTGTCTAATTATAAATCCAAAATTTAATTAAATTCCATACTGAAAAATGTATAAAATAAAATGTCAGAGTAAAGAATAATACTAGTGTTTCTGAAACAATGTTTTAGATTCTTTTCAATTTTTATTTTAATTAAATAAAAACTGAAAATGATATTACAGTCTTTATTAGAGGTGGAACAAATGGGCCGGGTTAGGCGGGTCAACCCTAACCCGGCCCGCAATGAAGAGGGTTCAACCTGGACCGCTAATATAGCGGGCCGGGTTGAAGCCAACCTGCTAGCAACCCCCGGGCAGGCCGGGTTGCTATATGGCAACCCGCCAACCCGGCGGGTTGCTTTTTTTTTGCAATAGCCAACACAGCGGGTTGGCTTGGCCCAAAAAAAATTTTAAAATTAATTATTTTTTTCAAGTTTCTCCCATTTTTTTAGTTCTTTTAATTAAACTATTATGATTGAACTCTTACAAATAATTTTACACAATAATATTAAACTATACTTGTAAATCATAAATATTAAAATATATAAAACTTCGTAATATTTGACACATTGTTATTATTATTTTTTATGGTACGTAAAATATAAAAAAATTAAATACTTAAGTCTTATTCTCAAATTTTCATGTCTTGTATAAAATATAATTCATTCTTATGCTAAAGTTTCATCAATTGAATGAATGATTGTCAATGAGGGAGGTCCTAGTGAACCACCCCCAAATTAGTTGTTTTGTAAAATGTAATTTGTAAATTAATTGTCAATTATTGCATTCTTTTTTCTTTACTAAGTTTTTCTCCCATTGGGTTTTTCTTGGTGAGGTTTTTAACGAAACAATAGTTATTGTAATTTTTTATTTTATTTTTTCATAAATGAATAAGTCTAATTTTTCTTATATTACAATTTTATTGTATTAAAATTGAATTAATATTTGAAATGTTAACAAAAAAAAAAAAAAAATTAATTGAATTGAATTATTGATATTTGAAAAGTTAATTAAAAACAATTACATTTATAGTTGATTCATTTATAAGTTGTTAATTAATTATTTGAAAAGTTAAACAAAAAAAACAAAAAAAATAAAAAAATCTGGCTAACCCGGCCCGGACCGCCGCCTAACCCGACGGGTTAGGGTTGGCGGGCCGGGCTGGGCCAGCCATTTCCCCCAAAATGGCGGGCCTAACCCGACCTGCCTTTGTTGGCCCGCGGGTCAGGCCCGGCCAGCCAAAGTTTGTAACCCGCCGCAGGCCGGGCCGGGTTACTTTTCCACCTTTAGTCTTTATATGGTAAAGTAATCAACTTTAGGGGTGAATTGTAGCTTTCTCAAACTTTGAGGAGGAAATTGTTATAAACCCGTCTAAACAACATCCATTTCCGCCCTGCCCAAAAAGTTGTTATGTCCAGTCCCATCTGGCCCATAACTTTTTTCAAATCAAATTCTAAGCAACTTCCTTTCACACCGTGAAAAACAATACAAAACAAAACTTAACCAACTGAACGCTTCAACTTAACAACAATGGCAACGGAGACGATTCTCTTCCTTCTTCTTTTAACAACTTCATCGTTACTCGTCGAATCCGGCGACAGCAACCACGTATACTTGCCGTGCTCCGACACGAAGGTGCAGATCGACGACGGCTTCACTTTCGCCATCGCCTTCGCTCAGCGCACAAGTTTCATCTACAACAACTCCCTTCAGTTGTCTCCGTGCGACCGTAGACTCGCTCTCTCCTCCGCCAACTCGCAGATCGCCGTCTTCAGACCCAAAGTTGACGAGATCTCTCTCCTCACTATCAACACTTCGTCCTTCTCTCCGGTTACTTTCTCTCCTTCTCCACAGTTATCCTTTAGCTACAGTTACTGTTAGTATAGTTCGAATTTGAATTTGTTGCTGTGTTAGTTGTGGTTTTGCTTATATGGGTTTTTGTTAATTTAGGTTTTTGTTGCAGTTTTGACGCTAATTGCTTTGAGGGTTTCGTAATTGTTTTCTGGTTGTTAATTAGATTACTAGAAATATATATTCTTTTAGTTTGATTAGAAGTAGGATTAATTATGCTTTTGCTTGTATGGGTTTTCGTTTTTTAAGGTTTTGTTGCAGTTTTGAAGCTAGTAGCTTAGTGGGTTTCGGAAAATTTTTGTGGTTATTGATTGGGTGATTTGTCTTTCATAGTTTGAGGGTTCTATGAACTCGTGCTTCAGAATTGATTTCAGTGCAATTTTAGAAACTTTTGTTAGATTAACTTACTTCTGTTTATATTGGTTTTTGTTTCAATTTTGATGCTAATTGCTTAGTGGGTTTCATACATGTGTTGTGGTGATTAGTTGATGATTACTCTTTCATAGTTTGAGAATTTGATGAACTGGTGCTTTAGAATTGATTTCAGTGATATAGTGCTATAGTGCTATAGTTGGGGAAGTTTCAAGTATTAGGAACTTTTGTTAGGTTAATTATGTTTTTTTCTTATAAAAGTTTTATTAGTTTAGGTGTTTTTTTGATTTAGCTAAGGAGGTTCTGTACATGTTTTTCCAGTAATTAATTGTATGATAAGTCTTTCATAGTTTGAGAGTTCTATGAACTTGAGCTTTAGTCTTTAGAATTGGTTTCAGTTCGATATTGTTGGTTGTGTAGATTGAGTTATTACTGTGAATTGTCTAGTATTGATGCTGGAAGAAATGTGAAACTGGTTATAAGACACGCATGTAAAATGGGAAACTTGTAAACCTGAATTGTGATGTAGAATGTGCAACTATTTGTATAAGAAGGTAAGACTGTTTAGTTGTACAACTCCAATGCTTGGTATCACTTCCTATGGTATTGTAGAACGACTGTTAGTTTCAATGTAATGCTAGCTGCCATTGAGGGGTATAATTTTTAGTATGTCTGATTTTTGGGAAGTATGGTATGAAAAGTAATGATATTCTTGTAGTGTTCTTGTGATAAACATGATCATACTTGTTTATATTGACCCTGAACCAAACAAATTATGTGTCGTGTGATCTTCCGAAAAGATTGAAGACAGTTATGTAAGAACGTAAGTTTGTGGGTACTTATTTAGGCTCTAATCCTCATGAAGTAAATCACTTGAATGGAATATTAACCTTCTTTGGCATTCCTTTGGTTGACCTTTTAAAGAAACTTGTCTTCTTTTGGTCTTTTCCGCAAATAAAATTGTATCTGTTCATAATAACTTGTAGTCTCATTATTTCTATGCCATGCAGGATACTTATGGTGGGTATATGGTTGCATTTGCTGGTCGCAAATATGCTGCTAGGTCCCCCTCTGCTTTTGTTGCAAACACCACATACACCGTAACCAGCTTTACCCTTGTAAGAGAGAATCCAGACTCTTGTTTCAAATCTCCCCAATTTTATGTTATGTAAACGTCTTTGACAACAGATGAAATTGTTAATTGCAGGTGCTCGAGTTTAAGAAGGGCAGGCTAGAAAACTTGTATTGGAAAAGGGATGGCTGTGCTAAATGTGAAGGACAATCTAACTTTGTCTGCCTCAACAATGTCGATTGTGCAATCAGAACTTCCAGCTGCAAGAACCATGGAGGTTCTGTAGATTGCAGCCTTGGAATACAATTGGCGTTCTCTGGCACGGACAAGCACCTCTCAGTTCTCAACTCGTGGTATGAAGTGGAGAACCTTCAACAATACTCGCTCTATGGCCTTTATTCGAATCTCAAGGATTCTCTAACTAGCCAGTATAACAATTTCTTCTAGTTATGCTTCAGATTGTTTGTAGATCTTTCCTTACGTTTGTAATTTTTTCCCCTGTATTTTAATGAAATCGACTCTACATTACTCTGTATCTTTAAGATTTTTCATTTTCCTCTTCCCGGTTTATTATGTTTCTCAGGGTTATGGTGTGTAAATTTTTTTACTTCCCAATTATTTGAAAATTATTACATTGGAATCCCCTTTTTTCTTGATGTTGGCTTTGTTGAACTTTTACGTGTGGAAATAGATTCTTAAAACATTCCCTAATTGAGCCTAGAAACTTCATCTTCTTTTTTGAAGTTGATCTGTATATCTCTTCTCCTCATTTTTATTTTGGAAAATGAAGGATATTAGAAATTTTAAATTAGTTTTTTAATGTAATCCTAAAATTTAATAATTGGAATTGAAAAACTGTAGCCTAATAAATGAGGTTCAAATTTTTCATCTTAATTATAAAATTCATGAGTAATGCTACAGACACTGAATTTTTATATCGAACGATATAACAATCAGTCAAACACGATTACGTTGGAGTCTTTCGTGAATGAATGACCGTTCAATATTTATGGATGCCTATCTATATTTAATGAACTCATATTCCTATTGTATGAACGGATGTTCATTTACTACGGACAAACGTCTATCTTTTCAAAAAAAAATTTTAAAAAATTTTAAAAGAAAAATAATGGACGCTAGTCTATCTTATATGGATGGAAGTCCACATAAAATAGACGCCCGTCCATACTTAAAAGAAGCCTCCCTTAGCTTCTTTGACTTTGGCACCCATCCATACTAAATAATAGCATTTTTCTTTTCAAAACGTCTGCAAGCATCAGATCAGATTCATGAACTGCAGAAAGAGCACCAATCAAAGTTGTGTAAGCTGAAAAAGCAGGCCTAAATTTGAGTGTTGTTTGTTGAAAATGTCAGAGCAACTTTAGTCGTTGAAAGAGTCTTTTTCAAGAATGACTCTTTATAGGTTTGGAATACTTCCATGAAAAAAAAAAAAAAAAGTGAAGAAACAGATGCCATGAAAATAAAGTAAAGAAACAAATACTATTACATAGAGAAATGGACGGGTGCTCGTCCAATACTTTTTTTTTTTAATTTAAACAATGAAAAAGGATTCATTTAATAAAGACGTTAATCCATTCAGTTAGGACACTCGTCCATAATATATGGACGGACGTTCATAATTTTTGTTTTCAAATTTTTTTTAGTTTAAATTATAGACGGATGTCCATTATAGGTGAACGGTCATCCATATAATATAGACGAGAGTTCATTTAAAATAAATGGTAGTCCAATAATAATGCACGATCGTCCATATTTGATGGATGACCATTCATTAGCGAAATACTTGTTAACGTGCTACGTGGCTCGCCTGATTCAGTAGACATGTCTTTCGGTGTAAAAATTCAGTGCAAAACGTCGGTTTCCGTAGCATTTTTTAAAATTCATACATGTAAAGTGCATGCAAGTAGCGTGTTGTTTGTTGAGGTATAAATAAAGAGCAACTTCTAGTTGAATAGAGCATATAGTGGCAATTAAAAGTATATTTTTGAATGATGTAATTAAAGTATTATAATATTAAATTTTAAATTATAATCCACAACATACATATATAAATTTTTAATGTGTAATATATTTTTATATATATATATATATATATATATTAACTAATTATCTAATCCACATAATTTATTTACTTGTTATCATAAGTAAAATGTAAATGAGGATTTAATAATTTAAAAATGAATGTTCATAAAGTTCTAAAATTTGAATTTTTTTTAAATATATATATTTTTATCCAGTCTCAGTTATACTAACCCAAGAAACATAAGATAAACAATAATGTTAGATACATAAAGAAATCTTACAAAAAAAAAATATATATAAAATCTTGCAGTAGAAATGAATGGAAAAATGAATACAAAAACTAAAAAACACTTTTGAATTCTTTTTTACAACTTTGAACGATTGTTTTTTAAAATTAAAAAAAAAAAACACTCTTGATTTGCCAGTTGTTTGATTTTATATATATATATATATATGTCTCCACTTAAACTTGAAGATGAAGACTGATACTAAAGACAAAAATATTGAGCTTTAAAAATAACAATAATACTATACTTACAATGAAATCTTACAAAGATTTTTATATAAAGTGAGGAGGTAAAAATTGAATGAAAGAATGAAACAAAAAGTCAAGTTTATTAAATTCATTCTTTTATTTATTTTTTACTACATCATTATGTATGAAAATCTTTATAAAATTTGTTTATAAGCGTATTATTACTTAAAAAATAAATTCTCTCTCTCTCTCTCTCTCTCGTGCCAAGTGCCAACTACATTTAGCCTATTAGCCCATAAGGTTTTCTCATAGTTAATGGCCACTAGCCCATAAAGTCTTCTCGGTAGCTGAATGGCCATTAGCATGAGTCTATTTGTTTAATTAAATTTTTATAATAGTTGCATCTTAATTCCCAAATAACATAAAATGCCTCACTTATTTATAGACATTCCCAGGGGATTTTGGGGCAGCTCATAATTATATTTCATTCTTTCTTTCCAGAGAGGTAAGCAATCGCACCATTTTTTACTACTCTAAAGTTATGGATCAAGAGCTCCATGAATATTCAATAAGGTACGAAGGTTTTCATTAATTGTATGCATGACCCTAAAAGAAACTAATTATAATAAATAATATGGCAAAATTATTTACCACCCATTATTAATAGTTGACATGGGAGTATAATCTCCATTAAATTTAGGAAAATAAATATTTTTTGCCTATAAATAATTAATAATTAAATCATATAAACAATGTAAATATAGTAAAACCTCTCTATAGTCATAATGGTGGGACCAACTAATTTTATTATTATGAGGAGATTATAACTTAATGGAGGTAGTTATAAAAATTATTGTTTTGATTTCTTATTTTATAATTCATGTATTAGTAGTATAGTATTAAGTTTTTAATTTATATTTTACTAGTATTAGGATTTCAATTCAACGCTTCAATTGCTTACTTTAAACGGATAGAAGATCATGTCTTAGAACCAACAAAGATAAGTGTCATTGATGAGATTATAAATGCAGTTGATGCATGGTTAATTGATGTAAAGTTACAGACAATTGCCAATGGTTTAAAGCATTGAAACATTAGGACCCTCAATGTCAATGAATTGCAAGTTACAAATGAAATGGATGGAGTGAATAAAAAAGTCATTACAAAATTGAGTGATCAGATTCGACAACTTCACTACACTAATCGAATGGATATTAATATCTTCTTGGATCATCCAAAAGAGCAACAAATCATGTATACTTTAACTAAAGAAAAAATTATTGCTATAATTAGACAAGAAGATAAAGGAAATAATTTTAAGAATGATAGTACAGAAATACAAAAAGTTTCGTACCATAAAACTTTAAACATGCTTAAGAAAGTAAAAATATTTTGGCTTCAATAAGAAAGTGTCCATGCTAGCGAGCTATTACATACTCGCGAGGTAAAAGATGTGGTAACAAATCTAAAGTATAAATCATTGTCTCAAATAACTTTAGATAAATATTTTATTTCATCTTAAACCTTTAATGTAACATAACATATATTTTTTGGTAATATACATATAATTATTACTATATGGAGGCAACTTTCCTTAAGACAGGAATTAGAAAAATTATAACTTATTATAATGTGGAGTTTGTTCTCATTTATAACTATCTCAAATTGGGACTAGAATTTTTTATGATTATGTAGAGTTTATTCTTATATAGAGTATCATTATAGAGATGTTTAACTGTAGTTACATTTATTGTTGTATCATATATGTTGTCCCTATGTATGAAGAAGTTACATAAATAGATCAATATATTTTGTTAGAGACGTATAATCAACAAGAATCTAACATCATTAATAATCTTCATCTGTCTCTAACATAAAATTTCAAAGGTATATAATATGGAACACGGTTTTGGTCCTAATTAAGTTGATGCATGTTACCTATATCACAACTTGCATGGTTGTGGTCCTCCAATAAAAATGAGCTGTAATTGAACATATTAGATTTTAGGGTAAGAAGAGCAAGAGATGTCACATCTCTATTTTTAGTATTGTAGCTATTTTAGTTCAAAACTAAATACCTATTAAAAGTCAAGCAATCATAATTATTCTTCTAATGTCTTGAAAAGACATGCTTTAAATTTGATGATCTATTGTTGTTGAAATTAACTTTGGTTTTTGTTTGGCTGGGAGTGCATACATTTGAGGTAAATTTTTAATTTGCGATAAAAAGATAAACATTGGTTGAATATTGTATATGGTTTATGATTCTACATATACTTATTAACATTATACTGATTCATCTAATAAAAAAAAAAAAAAAAAAAAAAATGCAATTAACCATTAACATACTAGACATCATTTAATCAATCAAATTAATCAAACAACTAAAATTCAATAAGATCTTACAAATATATTCTCTCAAAGCCAAGACATAAGTAGTTGAGGTAACCTAATAATTTCCTAGTTATCCAATCTCTTTCTTTCATTCTCAACTAAAAGTCAATAACACATGAAAGGATGAATAAAAAAATATTAAATGGCTATCTCAACCGATTTAAAAAAATCGATCAAATGATGTTATTATATATAGCTTAATCATTTCAAGTATAGAAGTATAAGAATTTCGTTAAAAAAATCATTCATGTGTGATCATAAGAACATAAATGATGAACCCCAATCACAGAATGCCTTGTGATCTCACTTTTGCCTTATCAAAGACAACTCAATTAACTTGCTAATTCATATTCAAGAGATCCCAACGGAGAAGAAGCGGTACTGGCTCATACAAGATATCCTGCTGCGGGATACAACAATTTAACTTAATCACTCAGAAACATTAATAAAACACTCTATAAAATCACTTTTAGGCCAGTCAGTATAACCCTAACCCAAACTCAAAGAACCTTAAAAAGTAAATAAAAAATAATCAATTACTATAACCCCTCTAGAACTTGCAACAGATCAAAAAAATGCTTGAGAAAAAAAAAAAATCTTATGATCCGCCAAAAGTACTCCAAAATCATCCTTTGTGAAACCCTAGAGTCTAAAACGAAAACCATCATAGTCTCTCATTTCATGAGAGAGAGATCCAAACCCTGAATGAACAAACCAATCACAATAAC